ATGCTGGTGCTCTGGTCACTTTCTTCATTTTTTTACAAACAGGCACCTTGTTATCCTAAGAATAGTACCACATACAATTAAGATGGGACTTTCCACAACAATCACTGTAATCAAATAATGCCTTGGAAACATGTTCAGAAGCTCAGGAGTCATAATGAGTTGTTGGCAGTCCTGACCAGGTCTTCCATAACTCTGTGCTAACATTTACATTCTGGATCTTCAGGCTCCCCATCTCCTTCTTGTCAGTGTCTGAGTTTAATCTCCATGGGGATATTTAGCCCAGCATTTGGAGTATACAGATTGACAATTCACATTCCTCTGGTTCTTACCCCTTTAACAAAACGAGAGACTATCAAATGGGAGTGTTCACACTTGACCTTGACAAAACAGCTAGGATGCACAAAACAAGGGTTTCCTCTTTATAGATGTCAGAAATTCCAAAGTCAACTGAAGACAACAAATCTTCTCTATTATGAGAATGCAAAGATGTATTAGAGTTTGGTGTTTCCAGCCTCCTTACACAGAATGAAGTCAGGAGTGCTAAGGCTGCCACTTCTCTGATCAGTGCACTTTATTGCTCCCAGAATGGATCTTTTTGACCTTGGTATAGAGGGTGAGGCTAGGACTACAAGGTCCTCATGGAGGGAATCATATATACCAATCTAATCAGCAAATACCACAGACCAGGTCTTGTTTGGCAAAATATTTTTAAAAAAGTGTCAACAGTGTCCAACCAGACAATTTCTTTTAACACTGGACTAAAAGTTTTTAATTAAATTTTAATTTAATTAATTTTTAATTAATTAATTAAATTTAATTAAAATTAATAATGAGTGTCATAAATTCAAATGGTTTGAGAGTGCAGAGTTTAACAGTGCCTTATTTATATTTAGTTATTTTATTCAGGTATCTGACTTTTGCTCATAATATTGCTTTGTTATTTACTCAAATTCCTTTTCCATAGTAACAAAACCAAAACAAACAACAACATCAAAAAGGCTCTTAATGTACAGTGTGGATTGTGATGATTTAAAACAAAAGAAATTAATACATGAGAATCTGGGAAGTAGAATATACACAGA